AATTAAAAAAAAAAAAAAAAGAAGCATATTATCCATTATCCTACATTATTATATTAGTACTCTCTTCTGTGGAGTTCCTGGGTTATACAGTTAACATTGGCTATTAACTGAAAGCCTTACAGTTAAGAGTCCACCCAGAAACACCTCAGAAGAGTCCTGTTGATCTACTTTTAAAATGTCTGCCTTTGAAGACCCTATGGAATCAGGCTTACTGGTCTAAGACAGACTAGTGTAACCCTCAAGACTATAACCCTTAGATACCCTTCAAGCCTGGAAGTGAACTTACCACCATGGCTCAACTTGCAGCCAAACTAGGTATATAAAGTAAACAATAACACCAGGAGTTATGCATATTACAACAATCAATCATACTAGATCAATCATTTGCCCAGGGATAAAGCTCAGAAGGTAGGAAGGGATAGGAAAGAAGGACAGAGGGAAATGGTAAAAACAGGGAGGAAGTGGGAAGAGTGCTGTTACACTGTGGGGACTGCAACGAATGTCACAAAATGTGTATTAATTGTTGAATAGAAAACCAATTTGCCCTGTTAACTTTCATCCAAATCACAATTAAAAAAAATATTATTTAGCTTTGGAAAAATAAAACTCTATGGAGCCCAGTTCTATTCTGACATTCATGAGGTTTACTCCCTGTATAACCACAGATAATTAAGAGTGAGCTATATAATTAAGCATACAGCTGGGATTGTTGTAAACATAACACCAGGTGTGATGAGCCCAACGTGGCAGATAAGTGCATTCCCTATAAATAAGTGTGATAATGTTACTTTTTGAGAGGAGGATAAAGAATATAGGGGGAAGGACAGTAAGCCAATGACTAATAATTGGTTATTAATCATGTTGTAACTTGAATTTGTAAATGGTAACATCACTGTCTCTATTACTTTTTTTTTACTTTTATTGTGGTGAAAACATACACAAGACATTCGCCAGCATAACAACCTCCACAACTTTCATTTGGATAAAGTTTACAGCTCAGGGACATTGATTACATTTTTCATGTTGTGCCACCATTATTGCTATCCTTTTCCAAAATATTCCACCACCGATTAGCATAAACTGAATGCCCCCCAAAAAAGCTTCCCATTTCCCCCTCCCTCCTACCCCTGTAACAATTAATAATCTTTCGTGTGTGTGTGTGTGTGTGTGTGTATATACACAGACATTTTTTTTTCAACCTATCTAGCAATTTTCCCTCCCTTCCCCTGCCATCTCTGGTAACCAACAAAGAAAGTTTCCATCTGTGTATAAATCTTTCTTTGACTTTTACAATAGTGTACCAATATAATATTTGTTCTCATGTGATTGACTTACTTCACTCAGCATAACGTCCTCCGAGTGCATCCACATTATGTGATGTTTTGCAGATTGTGCATTATTCTTTAGGGTTGCATAGTATTCCATTATGTGTATGTATATCAGTTTGTTTATCCCTTCCTCGGTTAATGGTCACTTAGTTTGTTTCTACCTCTTTGCTACTGTGAATAGTGCTGTGATGAACATGGGTGTGCATATATCTATGTGTGTCCTGCCTCTCACTTCTTTGGGATATATACTTAGTATTACTTTAATTTTTATAAAGGAATCCTCTATAGAGGATCAGAAGTCCCTGGGTGGCTCAAACAATTAAGCACTCAACTACTAGCCGAAAGATTGGTGGTTCAAACTCATCCAGTGGTGCCTTGAAAGAAAGGCCTGGCAATCTACTCCTGAAAGGTCACATCCTTGAAAATACTAGGGGGCAAAGTTCTACTCTGACACACATGGGATTCCCATGAATTGGAAGTGAATTGAAAGCAACTGAGCACAGTGTAGGGCTCAAAGCATAATCTCTTAACATGCTCAACATTCTCACAAGATGACTTCATTAACCTGCTTTACAAATAAGAAAGTTGAGGTCTAGAGATGGCCAGGGCTCCACCAAAGCTACATGGTCAGCCCAGCCTAGAGTGCTCATGGCCCAGGAAGAGCTTACAGCGTGAACATCAGAATTTCCAAGGAAATTCTGCAAGGGATGATGTCTTGGGACTCAAGAGTTAGACCAAGAGGGGCGGGTACATCAGAAGCCTCCTCAACTACCTTTCATTCATGCTAGAGGAGGCCTCGACATTATTTCTCCTATTGTTGTTAGGTACCGTCAAGTCTCTATCATCACTGCTTTCTACTGTGTAGGTCTAATAATTAAAACCATGTTTAAAGACTATTAGAGCACTGAGAAATTTTGATAATTTAATTGTGCATTTGGAAATATCATTTCTTTGTCTTTAAGGAAAAAATTAAATAAACTGTAAACTAGCATTCTAATGAAGAAGTCTTAAAAAATGTAGGCTAGGTAATCAATAAGACTAGGGCTGAAAATTACAAGTCTTCTTCAAACATATGGAAATGAGACAAATCTACAGATGAGACAAGAGAACTGATGAGCAGTGTCTACCATACTCACATCTAAAAGGAAAAATACATGGGTGGGAGTGCAATAAACTGGGCAGAGGACCCTATGAGTCTGGGTCTGACCACTCCACATGTTCATATGGTAGGAAGGTCAGGATAATGGATCATTTCCCCTAAAGGCCCACCGGCAGCAAAAGCTGATGTTAGAAAGACGTGGAAGAGATAACTTAGACCCAAGGGGCAGGGGCATAGCGAAGCCGGTCCCTCTATTCCTCAATCATCCCCGAACCCTCGCCGCGTGAGCTGTCATATCTAGCAGGGATAGCGGTCACGCTGGGAGTGACCACAAACAGGACTTGCAGCTGGGCCCAGGCTCCAGCATGCAGCTGACAAGGGGTTCTGACAGGCCTCTGGGGCTGGGCCCGAGCCACCTCTCCGCCCCCACCGCGGTGCCTGGCCCAGCTACTTTCTGGCTTGGTGTCTCACTCACCGATCTGCCCAATGAACTCGATCTTGATGCCTTGGTGTTCCAGCCGTTTGTTGGGATTCTTGAGCACGAGGCTCACCTTCCCGGAGACCGTCTCCCCATCGTAAAAGAGAAAATACTTCTCCTTCTTGCCGTCCTCCGTCTTGTGCTCGGCCCGCTTCCTGCTCTCCGCATCGCTCAGCAGGATCTCCACCTCCACGCTCTGTCCAAAGCCAAAGAAGCTCATCGCACCTCCGGCCGGGCTGCGTTAGGCGTTAACAACGTTCGCTCTTCCACCTATCTCCTCCTCCTTCCTGAGCGGGCGCTGCGACAGGGAGGACCAGAGAGCTGGGTGCTGGCTCTGGTTCCGGTTCGGGCGGACGAACCGTAACCTGGCTCTGCACGCCCGGCTGGGCTAGAGCGCTGGCCAGTCCGGCGCACTGGGGTGGGCTGAGATGCGTAGGGAGGGGCTAGAGAGAGGGCGGCTGGCCGTGCAGCCCGTGGAGGCGCCCCCAAGGGCCGCTTATGCCTGCAGCTCAAGCAGCAGGCGTCCGCGGGCGTAGAGTCAGCACAGCGGTGTTGGCCCCACAGCGGGGCGCCCCACACGCGGAGTGGCGCGGTAGCGCGGAGCCCGCAGGCGTCGCCCCTACCTTTAGAGCGGGCTTAGGGCTAGGAAGCCAGATAAGCTTCCGCACCCTCGACAGTGCGCCACGCTGTCTTGCTCCAGGGGCTACGCTGCACAAGAGGACAGCCCGGCGGGTTGGTGCGCTCTTGGGCCACTGACACTGGAGTGCCGGCGCATGCGCAAGGCCCTACGCTGGCGCGCAGGTCTGGAGCGCGAGCACTGCGCATGCGTAGCGGGAGATGGCAGTCCAGCCTTGCCTTTAGTTGACATGGTGGCTGGTGCCCCTTGGGAGCATCTATGCCCATGTTCCGTACGATGAAAAACACCTCAGGTGTTTAGTGATTCCCCGAGGTTTGCTCATCCCTTATCGTTTTAATCCCTCATTGAAATGTCACCCAATCAGGATATATACAACATCCCTTGTTCGAATGTGGTAAAATTGCCCTTTTATAAGGAGGCAAAATGTTGCTTGAGAGGGTGCGAAGGTGACAGTTACTACAGTAATTCTCTTTAAAAATCCCATCTCATTTAAGGAAAATGAGGCAGTAAGGACAATATTAGGCGTCCATACCTTAGAGCTTTTGAGGGAGGGAAAAATGCTAAAACCAAACCCATTGCGATAGTCTATTCTATTCTGACAGCGACTTTATAGAACAGAATAGAACTATCTCATAGGGTTTCCACGCCCAAGAGCTTTACAGAGAAGACTGCCACATCTTTCTCCCACCAAATGGCTTGAGTTGCAACCACTGACCTTTTGGTTAGCAGCTCAGGGCTTTAATCACCGCACAGCCCGGGGTCATTAAAACACTCACTCTGAGTCCGGCCCGCCACGTTCTCTGCGCATGCGGCTGAAGACCCAGGTGGTTGGTCAATGGGATAAATACAGTTTGGCCACGGTGATTGGCTGGTGGGGAACTCTCTTATGCTCTGATTGGTCAGCAGGGATACCTGGGCGCGCGCGCGGGAGCGAGCTTCTAAGTTGACTAACCCGAGGGCCAGTAGTTTAGCAGAGGCAATGGCGCTGCAGAACCTGGGGGCAAGTCTGCAGCCCTGGTGCCCTTTGGATCTCAATCTTGGTGAGCTGACCGAGCCGCTGGTCACGGGGGTGGAGAGTGGGGGATGGGAGAGGGCGGCGCACCTCATGGCGACGGTGGAGGGCGCCTAGGCCCGTCCTTGTGTCAGAATGTGTGTGGGGGGAGTTTGTGCGTGAGAGAAACACAGAGACAGAGAGGCAGGCAGGCTTGGTTCCAGGCTTGGGTAGGAGTGTTTGCGTATGAGGGGAAAGGGGCGAGTTTGGCTCAGGCTTGTTGTGATTGTGTGAGGAAGGCGGAGGGCTCAGCTCTTGGGCGGTATCTGTTGCCTCCGAGTTTGTGCCACCCTAGAATGTTGGTGAGCTGGGCTTTAGTCGGCTCAGCCCAATAAAGCGTTTAAAATTGAAGAGCTATGTTGCCTCATCTCTATCTACTTCTTTTTACATGTGTTTTTTATGTCTTCCCTTTCTCATTCTGAAAATCTTCCGGAGCAACCTCATTTATTTGTTGGGTTTTAAATAGTAATCTATTTTTTCATTGAGACATCTTTCTTGAACTTAATGTGCAACTAAACATCCCCCAGGCACCTCAAACTTCACATGAATAGAAAGGACCAGTTCTTTTTCAGCTAACATGCGTTTTAAATCTGGCTTCCCAGCTAAAGGCACCAGATAATCCACAAACCTGAGATCATAGTTCCTCCAGTGCATTTCCTATCAACAATCACCACTTGTCCTACCCTTAGAAATGTCTTTCATGCTCTCTGTTTCGTTCTTGATGCCACTACCCAGGTTCATGCCATCATCAGAACTGATCTGGGTAATTGTGGGAGCATCCTAATACTGCTTTCTAATGCACCTCTTTCAGCAACCCACTCCCCCACCTCTGCCAGGATCACTTTTTAAATTGAAATGGTCAAGTTGTAAACCTTTAATGTGTCTCCTTTGTTTCCTGAGTAAATGACCATATTCTTGGTGTATTGTATAAAAGAACCTTCACTGACTCATCCAGTTAGCTCTTCTAAGAGCATAACGTTTGGAGTCACAAACAGATTGGTATCTTGGCTCTACTACATAGTATCCATATATCATGGGGCAAGCTTCCTAACCTTGCTATTTCTTTATCTGTTAGATGGAGATTATAATACATACTTCACAGAGTTTTTATGAAGATTAATTAACCTGGCACATAATAACTGTTGAGTAAATACTACTACTGATTTTTTAGCCTGTACACTGAAAACCTATGGTATAAGTATTTTATTTCTAAACACTTCATATTTTCTTTACCTTTGTGATTGCTTAAGCTTTTGTCTATTTGGAATGCATTTTCATGGAAAACTCGCATGTTCAGGTCTAGCTGAATCATGCTCCTCACTTCTGTTTCCCTCTCCTCCAGTACTGCTTCCTGTTATGATCTCCAGCATTTTACTTATCCATTACTTTTTTTTTAACACTCATCCATTTTAAAAGTAATAGCTGTCATTTATTGAGTGTCTCTTATATGGCAAGCATAATGTTAGACCTTTTATATATGTTATTAAAAATAATCCTTCATCCATTGAAGAAGATGAGATTAAGCATAAGTGATCAAGTCAGGGTATTAGCTTAGCTTGATTTTCTCAGACTCACAACGCAGTGGCTTTTCTCCTGTTGTTGTTAGGTGCAGTCCAGTCAACTCCAACTCATAGCAACCCTATGTACAACAGAAATGAAACAATGACTAGTCCTTTATCTTAACAATCTTTGCTATGCTTAAGCCCGTTGTCACAGCTGCTGTGTCAATCAATCTTATTGAGAGTCTTCCCCTTTTCCACTGGCCCTCTACTTTCCAAACATGATATCCTTCTCCAGGGAATGGTCCCTTCAAAGATGATAACCAAAGTACAGGAGAGGAAGTCTGGCCATTCTCATACTTTCTCCCATTAACAGGCTGCTTTTTTTGGTATCATAAGTAAGATCTTTGTGGATGAGAATCCTCCAGTATCCATCTCTGTATGTCTATCATTTATTATAGAGGCTCCCCTATGATGATATTTTTTCAAAATACATTGAATGGGTAAATGATGTAATTCCTCTTTTTCTTCTGTCCCAAGTGAGGCAGGTAGTGTTGGTAGTATCTCCATTTGACAGTTGAGGAAGCAGGTGTAGTGAGGTATAGTGATGCTGATTGAATGGTTTAAGAGATGTGACAGAAGTCTAAAACTTAGTAAAAACCAAACCCACTGCCATCAAGTTGATTCTGACTCATAGTGACCGCCACAGGATTTCCAAGGCTATAAATCTCTACGGAAATAGACTGTCTCATCTTTCTCCTGCGGAGCAGTTGGTAAGTTTGAATCTTTTGGTTAGCAACCCAATGCCTTAACCACAGAACCACCAGAGCTCCTCAAATCTTAGTAAAGGCAGTGTCATTAATAGGATCTAGGTTTCCAGATACCACATCTTTTTTTTTTTCAGGCCTTAGTAGTTGTGATCCAAAAATAAATATTGGTGTACATTTAAATATATGTATATAAAATAAATGAGAGAGGTAGAGTTCTGGTAAGATGGCGGAATAGGCAGAAAGACTGCATAGACCCTCTTCAACAAAGAAAAGGGGAACCAATTAACACAGACACAGAAGGTAATCCTGGACCCCTAAGCCTTGAAGGGAAGGATATAGAAGTGGACTAAACTCCAACTAGCAGAGGAAGTTGCATGAAAATACCAAAAAAGGAGACATATGGAGCTGTGGTCTGGCAGCGATCCTGAAGGATCCTGACGGCACAAACAGGTTGGAGATTGCCAAGTGGTGGTAGGACCTAAGAATTAACCTGAAAATCAGCCCTGCTAGCCAGGAACTGTACAGAGGACTGCTCTGGTGGCTGGGGAGTAAAAGGCGAAGCAGCAGCAAAGAGGAAAGTGGGCTGAGCTGTGGAATTCAGCCTGTCTGGAGGGTGCAGCCATTTTGAATATTCACAAGCAGCCTGACCATTTTGGATGTTTAAAGCAACAGGGTTCTCCCAGATTTCAAGGGCATAAGAACATGTTCCACTTGCCAGTAACCCCAAGGACATTCCAGACCTGTAAAGGTGCGAGATTCCCCTTGTTACTCTTATACCCCACACTTGCTTGGTGAATGGAGATGCGGCCATTCTCCATTCCCATCCGCCTTGTGGGCCCGCAGGAACTCCATGCCAGTCTGTGTGCTCAGGCAGAGCCTGGGTGCCCTGCCCTGCCCTCCCCCATTTTTTTTTTTCCTCTTCTTTTTTTCTGTTTTTCAGTTTGCTTGTTTTTGTCTGTTTTAAAACTACTATAATGATTACTACTTTTGTCCATTTACTATTATTATTCTTTATTCTTCCCCTCCCAGGTCCTAGTTTTCAGCTTTTTTTCTTTTCCCTGTTACTGGTTGCAATTTTTCTCGTGATTAAGCCCTTTCCTTGTTTTTTCTTTCTGCATTTTCCCCATTTTTTCTTCATTATTCTCCTCTACCTTTTTTCTCTTATTGCCCTGTTCCCTGATATTGCAGGTTTTCTTGTTTTTTTTTCTTCATCTTTTTCCCTTTTTTCTTTTTTTTTGGGGGGGGTACTGTTACTGTGTGATT